ACAAAATCATTTTTTGATAATCAGTATGGTGAATAAAGAATCAAAAGCAATCTGTTCTTCCATCCGTGGGAGGAGGGGGAGGTTATTAACAATTGTTAAACAAAAAACAAAACACCACAGGCATACAAGTATTATTGACAACATTTGGCATTCAGTTTGCAAGGGAAATAGGGCAAACACTGGAAAAAAAAAACCAAGAAAATGGTAAAAGTGTTTCAAATCAACATGGGCCTGATTAAACAAAAATAAAATTGTCTGGGTCACAGAAGTGATATAGAGATGCATGAACCTTTTACTTTAATTCCACAGTTCAAAGTCAAATTCCTTAGTCACTGATTACAAAAGCCGTTACATCTGAGTTATAAATTATTTGTCCCAAATCTAGTTTGTAGTGGACAGTTCTCCATATCCTGAAAAATCACTGTCAAATGGCAACCTTGAGCTAGCAGTCTCATAAGTGACTCCAAGGCCAGGTCCACGCTTACCCCAAGATTGACACTCTGAAGATTCTGCAAAAGCAACGAGGAGTCCTGTGGCACCTTATAGACTAACTGAAGTGTAGGAGCATAAGCTTTCGTGGGCAAAGACCCACTTCGTCAGATGCATGACACGAAAAGCTTATGCTCCTACACTTCAGTTAGTCTATAAGGTGCCACAGGACTCCTCGTTGCTTTTGCAGATTCAGACTAACACGGCTACCCCTCTGATACTCTGAAGATTGGTCATCTGGGGTTCTATTTAGCAAGTTTAGTAAGGACCCACTAAAATGGACTGCTGATGGTACTATCAACCCGAGTACTCGATGGGAACACAAGGAGTGAAGAAAGTGGACGGGATGCTAGTCTTATAGTTGGAGTTGTGTATCTTAAGTTCACTTCCTCATGTAGTATAGACCTGACTTAAGAGTTGAATGGCTGGTAAGACTATGCCCTTACTGCTGCTAACGGCAGTGCTTTCGGGTCTGGTGTGAGGCTCATCAACTAATCCACATGAGAAAGACTGTATTACTACCACCAGGATGATAAACATTTCATGAGCAAAAGACTTCAGTTTCCATATTTGCCAAAATGTGGCAATAAACGGATTCTTTAAAACAATATGCAATTAAAATAGGCCAAGCGTTCTCAGAAATAATTGTAGGATACAGATTTCTAAAGCAGACAACAAGCACAGTCCTTTTTTACAAGGCATAACAGGCACAAAATAGTCAAACTTTTTTGGGACAAAGCTCTTTTTCAACTTCTTAGATTGTAGAATTGATAGTTTCAGAACAGACAGAGAAATACTGTTAATAACACTTCTGAATTGTAGAATACCATAACCAATACAACTAATAAAGTATAAAGGGTAAAACTGTTTCTCTCTAAGACCAGACCAATGTCTTACTGGATCTTGTTTTATACTGAATGCAAAAGATGCACGCTGTGGGGAAAGGTAGTGGACATATATCAAGATCAGCTTTAATAGTTGAATACAAAATGGAGCAAAGGGGAAAAAAATATTTTGATGTGCTCAGATACGGGAGAATGACAGCTATCTCAGTATGACAGACGCCTAGGGCAGCATGACCTATGCAGAAAGCCTGACAAGCTTCCTTGTTGTTGGATATGGAATAGGATATAAATACTGTATGCAAAGGAGCTCTGGATAAGTTTGAAATAAAACACTTGTGAGGGAGGGGATGCCTGTCTCACTCAAAACTACATTTAATAATGCTTTACTTTTATATTTCAGTATACAATAAACATATGTAGGCTGATGCAGCTCTTTCATGATTACATAATCAAATATTTGCCATCAGAAGGTAAGTTGAGTACAGACTTTTATACTAGCTATTAAGTTGGCATAACTAAATTGGTCAGGGGTGTGAAAAAACACACTGCTGAGTGATATAGTTGAGCCAACCTAAGTCACTCTCTCAAAGAACTAAGTTTACAGAAGAATTCTTCCATCAACCTAGTTACTGCCTCTCAGGAAGGTGGATTACCTATGCCAATCGGAGAATTCTTCCCCTCACTGTAAACAGTTCTTATGCTGAAACATTACAGCAACACTTCTTACATGGTGCAGCTGTGCTGCTGACGAGTTCAGTACAGCCGCTCCCTGAGTTGTGAATGGTCGAGGTATGACCTTTGAGGTCACTGCTTTGAGCATGATTGGTCAAAACACATTGCTGTTGCCTAGGATATGAGTAATCATGATGCCTTTAGTAAGGGACATAATGTTTATGTTAGTATGGAGACATGTACATACCAAGAAATCCGGAGGATGGTTCATGAATCTTTGCCGGAGTGGACCTCGCCTGTCTTGTTGGCAAAGAATTTTTGTTTTTCAAAAGGGAGGTCCTCTACCTTGTTCTGTAGTTCTCTCAAAACTCTAGCAGATAACAACTATGAAGACCGCCTCATCACAGTTGCTGTAGCCATGGAACGAGCAACTATGTCTGCAATATCGAGAGCAATCTGAAGACCTGTCCTGGAAGAGGCATAACCTTCCTAGATGATAGATTTTAGAATCAGTCTTTTCAAGTCCGGGAAATGTTCTGTCAGTGTTGTAAGCTTTGTGTAGTCGTGATTCAACAGAAGGGCAACATAGCTGGCAATACGAAGCAATAGTATGGCCAAGGAATACACCTTCCTGCCGAATATGTCTAACCTCTTGCTATCTTTGATAAGATAACAAGCCTTGTGGATAAGGGAGAAGTGGTGGATGAGGTGGTTGAACAAAAAATTCATCCCCTTTGATGGAACAAAGTATTTCTTTATCCACCCTTTTTTTTTGTTGGAGGGACCAAGGCGAGAGTCTGCCAAATCTCTTCCGCAGCCTCCATAATCACCTCGTCAATCGGGAGTGCTATTTTGGCCCAATGAGGAGACCGGAGATTTTTAAGGAAGCGGTATTGCTTCTCCTGCACTTCCGCCAATTGAACCTCTTGGCTCTCTGCAACACTTGTAAACAAGTCTTGGAACTGCTTAAAGTCGTCAGGGAGCGATATGTCGCCTGGGGTCACTGCCTCCTCAGGAGAGGATGATGATTGGTCAGTAGGTGAAGTGTCAAGTTGCTGTTCTTCAGCCTCTGATAATCACCCCTCCTCTGGCTCCGAATGATGTGCTTGAGGTGGCAGACTTTGTGGTGGGGGTGTTGTAGGATGCCGCTCACGCGGTGTTGTGGAGGTAGACAGAACGACCCATAATAGCATGGAGACCATCTCTTTGAATAAGACCGATAGCAACGGTGATGATAGTAAGGCGCTTGGTCATGGTGATAACCGTGGTAGTGTTCTGATCGTGCAGGAGAGCAGCATCTAAAAGAAAAAACACTCCTGTGCGGTCTATAATACGCCTTGTGTGGGGACAGTGCCGGTGAACGAGGGAAGTTTGTAGAAATTCTGCCTGTCATAGTATTGAGCATCTCTCTGCAGTTCTGCAATGTATGGGGATGAAGATCTAGGATGCAGAGAGTATGAAAGCTCATCATGTTCCCTATGGGGAATGCACGGCACTGGCGATCTCGGTGCCAGGGAAAATGTTGGGGAAGCAGAAGGACTAGGACTCTGATGTGTCTTAGCAGAGGCTTTCCTCAGTGCTGAGGCATTGTTGGGTCTTTCCGATGCCGTGGACTGCAGCACAGGATCTGTAATAGCAGGTGTCGGCAGTTCCGCTAGAGTCGGTGTTGATCCTTTGGTTGATGAGGTCCATGGTGCTGATGCTGGGTCTTGGTGCCATCTGTGCCCGCACAACTGGCTCTGGAGTTGGTGCCTTTTTGTGTTTTATGCCTGAAATCACCTTTGTAGTCGAAGAGGCAGTGCTGGACGTCCCCGGCTTGTCACCTGTGCTCACCCTGCTCACCGGGGCGGACGGCAGGGAACGTGTTGGGGAAGCCTGTGTCTTTTTCTTGGGGCTGCCCCTGGAGAGGGTGGTCTGTGTTTTTGTGGCACAGCAGGGTATGGCGTAGCTGCAGGCGAGGCGTGTGATGGCTGGAGCGCCTTGCCACATAGAATCATTTGCAGGCACATTTCTCTGTCTCACCAGGTCCTTACTGTGAGCTTCGAGCAGTGGGCGCATTTCTGAAGCACATGAGCCTCGCCTAAACAGTGGATACAAGATGCATGGCCATCTGGGCTGGAATGGGTTTGTAACAGACGTCACATTTTTTAAAACCCGGAGACCCCGGCATTATTTGTTCATTTTCTTTCCCACCCCCAGCAGTCTGAAGGCTGGTGAAACAGAGAAGAAAAAAGGTGTTCTGTTTTTGTTTGTTTGTTTGTTTTTTTAAACTGTAACTGAAAACTAGAACTCTTACGTAGAGTTGATAGTTGTTGTTAATGTTATTACTAACAAACTAACTAATTATATCTATCTATCTGACTAGATGAAGTTGAAGAGAGAGGGAGAGCTCCGTCTATGACCGAGGGTGGTTGAGAGAAGGCAAAGGGCATGAGACACTGACTGTGCATGAGCAGTCCAGCTAATTATGGCTATTGAAAGTCTCCTATCTGTGGCGCCGGGACAGCCCGACAACTATAGTGGAGCACCAATGGGAACACTACTCAAAAAACTACCGTACTTTCTAGGAAAAATCCTGCAGTACAAGAGAATATGCTAAATTATGGAACAATATATGATCCAACTAGCTAGTAAAACTGCTAGTCTGCTGTTGCAATTTTCAACTTTTTGAAAGTATTGTTCTTAGACAACCATAGCTAATATTATATGAATTTCTACCATATCAATGAGCTGTGCAATTTTTAGAATACTACCCCCCCCCCAAAAAAAAACCAAACAAAACAAACCTCAACCAATAGGAATCAAAATAATTGTTGCTACTTGAAACATAAAGCCATGTGTGAAAACCATTTTGATGTTTTTCAAAGGGAAGATGATAGCCTATGAAAGCTAATTTTTATATATTTATATTTATATATTTAATTATTGGCATGCACTTTCCAAATCAAAACAATTCCCTGAGAACAAGTACATAAGTAATCAACTAAGAATGATCTTTTCAAAATGTATATTAAGCAAAAACTTCCCTCTAAAATACTTAATTTTATTAGTGAAATGGTACCAAAGATAACAAGTATACAAACAATCTTTGCTCTATGCTACTTACACATAAATAAGACAGCTGCAAGACATGATCCTTCACAGTCTTTCTATAAGCATACAGATTTGTCATTCTTTTATTGGAATAAGCTGTTCACCAGCCAACTGCATGTGGCTAAACATCACAAAAATGACTATCTATACTTTACATGGTAAAGCATTTTCTATAGTTTTAATGGTACACATTGGCAAGAAACTTCAAATCCTAACAAAAATAAAGAGCGATTAAGCAGCTGCACAATCAAACTGGGTTTCATTACCTTAAGTGGGCAACTTTTCATTCCCCATAAAAGACTTAGGCTTCTGTATGTATTAACTTTATAAAGGAAAATCAAATTGAAAGCAACTAATAACTACTCAGCTTTTTTAACTGATAGAAATAACTCTTCCCATGAGGTAAGGCAATTAAGTATTTTGATTGTATTAAGTTGTATTAAAAATAAGTCTACTTGATTTTAGTATTCAACAAGTTTTAAAGGTACGACTTTTACGAAATCTTATGAGATTATTTCAGAGAGCACAAGTCACATTTTTACTTGAAAAAATGCTTGCAGTGTATCATTCTCTCAAATTACATGCTTTCTCCTCCAAAGAATGGATCCAAGAATGACATGGAATCTCTACCATATAACTCTACTGTAAATTCAACTACTATTCTTTTCAAACAAACTTTGCATACAGTTTTTTTTCACATCACACAACCAACATTAGAGTAGATTATTGAGAGGTAATGATTAAGGCCATCCAATGTACAGAAAAAGTTGGAAAAGAGCTCCCTTTGATTTTTCTGAAATTAGAACCTGCTCTCTCTGTATTCATCTACCATACTTCAAAGTATAATGGTCCCCAAACTTCACTTTTGCATTAATTTATAAATCTCTTCTTCAAAATTGAGCTTCAATCTTGTACCAAGAGAACCAAGTGCAGCTTTTCTAACAAACTACTCATTCTTTTCTACTGGTGTGCTCTTGGGTAGAACAGCCATTGAAATTATGTAAAATGTAATTGAAAATTAATAGCACACACAAAGTTCCAGAAAATATACTACATTTTAAGAAGGCACTAAAGCTAAAGCTTGTGCTCCCATATACTATTTTGAAAACAGGGGTATTTTCGTAATGGCACCTGTACCATATGCAGCTAATGGTAACTAATACCTCTGCAATATGGCTCAAAACAAAGTCCTGCTACACTATACACATGTGCTCACTTTTAAGGACTGGAGAGAGGGAAGAAACCCAGTAAGCTAAACTATTATCTACAGTATGGTGGTTGTTCCTTCTATAAATAGAACTGTAGCATGCATTATTCAATTACTATTAAAAGAAATATTCATTTTAGGGACATTAATAAGAAAATGACCTTAAATGAGAAAAAATGAATCCAAGCAGTGAACAAATGAAAACATACTAGTCAGCGGGCATTTAACGCAATAATGGCAAAACTGAGTGGTAAAGTAAACCCCTTATTTCCCATAGCTGTCATTTACAAGGGAAAGTTAATATTTCTGCACCATTTCCAAGCACGTTATCAAAACAGTACACATTGAAATTAAAAAAGAAAAACACAAGGAAAAACAATACAAAATTCATTAACTAGTAATATTTTAACAACTTCCAATGCATACCTTCAGCTTATACAGGTCTACAGCTTTCAATATCCACTTATTTGGAACAGTTCTTGGCAAAAGTTAACATAAATCATGTTACAAGTAAGTACTGCCATCATGGAAATGCATGGATTCTCACAGATGAATAGTTCTGATGGCATCTGCCTTTATAACGGGATATATTACTAGTCTGTGTTCTTTCTTGCTTTCCAACAAGAAGACAACAAAGCTATCACAAGAATTGGAAGTACATATCAACATGTTCAGTAGATTGCTTTGATGTTTTCTTCCTCTTTCAGGGAAATAAAAAGCTTTGGATTCACTCCACAGTTGAGTCAGAGGTCCATTCACTACTTTATACTTCTTCCATTTTAACTGAGAGGTTTTCTTCGTTTGGTTGACAGTTCCCATTCTGTTGTAGTTTGACTTCATCTGTCCTTAGTGTATCTTTGTTGTCTGCTGCCTTAATAATTTCAGAATTTGGATCCTCTTTAGTGTGATCTTTGTCCTACCAAGAACGTTGAAAGGTTATTATAAAATATAACTTATTAGGCCAATATTTCCAAGAGTAATTGGTGATTTTGGGTGTTTCCATTTCTGGATGCTTAATGTAATATAGCTTAAAGATGCCCAATTTAAGAGGGTGGGTGTTTAACAGCCCTGAAAATCTGGACCATTTAAGGAATCTGAAATTGGCACCCAGAAAAATACCTGTAATTCTGAAAATCTTTGCCTTAAAGCAGGGGTTCCTAAACTTTTTGACGTGGTGACCAGTAAATCCAGTCACGAGCTTTTGGAGGACCGGTAACATTTATTTTCATATCTGCATATTCATTAAGCAAATGATGAATATTCAAATAAGTTGTTTCTGGTCCTCCCAAAGCCCCTAGTGCCAGCTTTAGCAAAGCTTTTGATACAGTCACCCACAATATTCTTGCCGCAAGTTAAGGGAATAGGGATTTGATAAATGGACTATGAAGATGGATAGAAAGCTGGCTAGACCAGGGTTTCCCAAACATTTTACTTTAGTTGGAACCCGTTTTTTTCAGTACTTTTTTTGCAGCCCAAAAATATAAACGCATATTAAAAAAAAAAAAAGAATTAAAAATGAATAAGTTTTCAGTGTTTCACCCAGCTGCATCCTCTGCCTAGCCTGGGCCAGGGATTCAGAGACTCAGTGCCGCACGGGCACTCCAAAGGGCGGGAGCAGGAGAAGATTGGGGGTAGGGTATCTGGCAAGGAGGGGTAGAGTTGGCAGGTGTCCGGTTTTGTACTGGACCGTCCGGTATTTTCTAATTAGGTGTATCAGTCCGTAGCTGCGAACTGCCTGGCTGGTAGATGTGCTCAAGTTGCATGAGGGTACCAGCCAGGCAGTTCGCAACTACTTAAGGGAGGGTATTGGGGGGAGGGGAGTAGGAGGGGGCAAAATGGAATCCCTGGGGCCTGACTCAATCATGTGCTCGGGTCTGCATTTGCCCAGGTCAGTCCCGCTTCCCGCCGGTTGATTTGCTACTCCCACTTCTCCTCCTGATCTCCCCCATCCAGCCCCGCTTCCGGAGG